TCTCACTAGTAAATGTTTTGTTCGTATTTCTCAGTAAATGTATAGACGGCGCCATGGCATGCATAGAGAAATTACCATGTGGTAAGTAACAACATCACTAAAAACAACAGTTATTGTACCTACAATTACCAGTAAAGTTATAGTATATAAAACGTATATTTGTTTTTGTTTTTTTCTTTCTAGATGAAATATGTCCGAACGGAGGTGATCCATATGTAGAAGATGGTGTTGGAACAGTGTTCTGTTCAGGAGCTCTCCTGACATCAGAATACTATGCAACGAGAATAAAGCATTGTCCCAGAGGATATGAATGCACTGCGCTAGATTCGAGTGGTCTATTGGTGTGCTGTCCTATCAGTGAGTACCGTACACTAATTAGTTTTAACCGACTGCTATAAACTACACTCTTACACACCGTACATTTAATTTCACGTGATTCCCGTTTGTCCTGTTTATAGGAGATCCGATTGGATGCCCCTGTCCTCGCATTCCAATAGATAGCTTTCCAGTATGCCTATCCAACTGTGACAATTGTATGAACCATCCGCCATACGACATTTGTTGCATTGATGAGAAAGCGTGTCCAGGAGGCTGTGTTGGATTCATTAATACTGTTGGTGGGTTATGTTCACGTTAGTTTTTACTATGGTAACATGCAGTATATGCGACATACAAGTGCAAATGTGTTCAATCTGTAGCACCTGTGTTTGATTCAACAAATGACCGGAAGTGTTCATCCATGTATAATATATTACAATATGTACTACATGTGCGCTCATTATTGTGGTTTTCTATTGTTTTTATAGGTTACTGTAGATATGATTGTGAATACTTTATGCCAGGAGATACTATAACAGTACCACTATGCACAGAATGGTATATACTTTAGAAATACCTTGTATATAAATCGATTGGCAATTCATTTATATTTACGTAGGTAATTTGTGTTGTCTAATGTACATTGTTTATTTCGTGCAGTCAATGCACAAACGCCGAATGGGACCCCTGTACCACAGACCCATCTTGCAGTAAGAAACATTCTGTTATGGCTTACGTCACAATAATGTTATTTTCGTGTCCATTGCATGCGCAAACGGTAATTTACATAAACAGTACTGGCGCATCTTCACCGGGAAATGTATAACGTAACTATTCTCTCGTTTGATTTTTTTGTTATAGCTTGTGTTACCCCACAAACGGACGATGTGGGTAATGTAGTCACGTGTTTGACAGATGCAGATTGCTTGCATGTATATGGCTTCACATGCATTGATAGGATATGCTGTAACGGTGGTAGGATTTAAGTTAAACATTATAATATGAACGTTGATTTCACTTGATCGTCTGATGTTGAAACTCACC